AAAAAAAAAAAAAAAAAATGCAACGCATAGTGGTTATTTATAAACCATAGGTACATAGACGTTCTATTTTCCCGTGCTTTCAAAGAAGCCCGGTCCCAAGGATATCGTACGCTCCGCTACCTAAGGAAAACGTGTCACATGGGGTTGAAAGTGCAGCTCGAGAATTATTGGCGGTTATATACATGGAAAGGAGATATACATCGGTGGCCAGCTACCTGAGACTTGGAGTTTAGGAGGAGAGGATAATGCGTGCCGTCGAAAGAGGAGGAGGAGGAGGAGGAACAATTAATAAATAGTTGAGGAGGGAAGTTGGAAGTGGGTGAGTGGAAATTTTCTCCCTGGAAACTGGAATATGGGGCAAAGATCGGCCCCGTTATTTGTCGCGAAAACTTCCCTCTTGTCAAATCTCTGGGAACGTGATACTTTTTTAAAAGAGCCCTGAACGTTCGCTAATCTACGAATTTTAACATAGCTGTTTTAACGTAAACTTTTTTTTCGTTCGACAAGTATTTCTAAATTGAGAAAGGCTAAAATTATCTATCCACGACGTAATAAGAAACTTTCTCTCTCTCGTTCTTGATTTATAATAAAAAAAAAGTCTAATAACAAGAGAACATCAGGGAAAAACTGATAGAATTTTTATGATGTAATAGGATTTAAAGATAGGATAACTGATCGTTCATCGAGGAAATAATAATCTATCTCAAGAAATAATATCTCTTAAAATTGTCTTCCATTGGTAGGATAAATTCTCTTCTCTCATTAAAAAAAAAAGAAAGAAAGATTCAACGTTCAAAAGTATATTTAAAAAAGGGGGGGACCAAAAACTTAGAATTATATTACAAGCGGATGATATTAAAGGGAGAATAAATGGATCTTTAAGCAAATCCACGAAGGAAGTCTTTATGAAACAGCTGACTCGTTGTAAAACTACCAGTCAGCAGAGTCCAGACATAGCGAAGAACATCATCCCCTTTAGAAGGGCTCCAGACAGACGAACCCTCCAGGCAACAGCCCTCTGTCCCCTCCCCCTCACCGACGACCGTCCCATCGCCATAGCAACCCCTTGGATCCAGCAACCAGCCTAACCAACCGATTTGCCCACCCTCTCTCAGTCCTGTTCGTTGTTCGAACATTTACATCAAACACGCCATTTCTTTTTTTTCCTTTCTCTCTCTCTTTCTCTCTCTCTTTTTACGCACTCAAAATCAGGCAATCCTTTGTCTCCCCGTTGTATGATACAATCCCGCGCGTACGGGGAGGGGGTGGAGTGCCTTTGCATCGGCGATTTCAATTTACCTTCCATTTTTGCGATTGGGTTGGATGTTACGGATCGTTGCGTACCACGTTGTAATTGCAAAGTTTCCGTTTCGAAGGAATCGCTCGGATCAATCGCGAAGAAAGTTTACCGTTGTGTTGCCTCGTATCAGAGGCAATCGCATCGATTCTGTGAATCGTTGTTGTCGCGAAAAAACGTTCTACCACTTCCGCTTTCTTTTGAACGAAGCGAAGCGCCGAAGCTTTAGATTCTATCTCTACAGCGACTGCAAATTCGTGCAAATAAATAACTTAATTATTTGTTCCTGCCAATTTTTTTTTTTGGACAGACACGAATCTCCAATTTTCAACTTGATATTTAAATTTCGATTTCAAAAAATTTAAATTTCATTTTATCATTGCATAATAATACTTTGTTGCTTATTATTTCTACTTCTTTTTATCAGTTTGCGGGGGAGAAAAGTTGTCGGATAGGATCGTCTTGTTTCGTAGACGCACTTAACCCGAGCATAAAATCACATGGCCAGGATAAAAGATTCCCTCCCTATTCGACGGGCCGATTACGATAGAAATCGTCGCTTCGGGAATGAGGCATGCCGTTTTCACAACGTGAACTCGCGCGATATATTCAGCGAGCCGAATGATGACCGCAATCTTCGAAATTGCCGCCACTTTTTTTCGCCGTATCCACCGCCTCAATCGCCGAAGAACGTCACGGATCCGTTCTTTTCTTCTTAAAACGACCGACCACCATCGACATACCGCCAGTCGAGCATCGTGATTCGTAACAAAAACTAAGATAATAAGCCACGATCGAGAGAACGAGAGTTTTTAAAAAAATAATTTATACAAAAAGGAAAAAAAAATCTTGGTCCAAGTGAGAAGAGAAATGTTCACCTTTCTCGCAAAGAGCAGAGTTTTTCCATTGTTATTAAGCGCGTTTGCAGTTTCAATCCTCGCTCAGGATGCAAAAACTACGGTGTTTCCGCTCCCCGGAAATGGCTCCGTTCTCGAATCATCGGCCAGAGTGGAAACTGCGCTTCAACAGGATATGACGCGTTCCTCCGAGCTTATCGCGCATCCCACCACCGCACCTGTCAATAATTTTCTCCTCGGTAACGTTACGCGCGATTGTGTCCAAGCATAAGATAAAAGTTAGACAATGTAAACGCGGTTTTCAGCGGCGCAAAGGCCCTACGTTCATCTGAGGAGCGATAACGTGCCGGCTTACGTGTACGATCATCCGCATTTCGGATATCCGGTGGCGCACTCGATCGATTATCCGGTTGGCCCATCCTCCAAGCAGCTTATGATAGTCAGTTTCATAGGTTTGTTGCTGCTGTTCGCTGTTATTCAGAACACGATCGTGAACGTGAAACGAAGAGAGCTTCTGACGGATGTGCTGTCGGCGAGGAAGAAGAGAGAGCTTTACGCTTCGTACAACTTTGATTCCGTGGTAAGGATTTTAAGCTTATTGCCTCCATGTATTGCCTCTCTTGAGTTAATTTAAAATTTATCGTTACGATATTTTCTTCTCTCTGCTTAAATTTTTAAGTCAAGCTAGAAAGCTCCACTTCGTAGAACGTAAATTATCTTTTTTAATAAGAACGATCGTACATTCATTCGCTACGGATGAAGTTCTCTAAAAGCTTAAATTCGTTCCGTTCATATTTTTCCACCTCGTTAAAGAAATTATTCTATATATTTCTTCATATAGCTCGAAGAAGTGAATTCCACGACTTGAAAGTTTTGAGGGTAATTACAATTCTTCTCTTTCCCTTCTTCGGCTCGTAGACACCGGAACAGGAAGACGTGCTCGACGAGGATGGGAGGGTGAGGTGCATACAGAGGACCGTTTGCCTGGAGAATCGAAAGCTCTTGAAGGCGTTCGGCGCAACCGGCAAGATACTGGCCAAGTACTTAACGTGAGTTCCAAGCTCCCCTCTCTCACCCCTCCAGGCGTTATTGCTTCGCGGCCAGCCGAGACACAATGGCACAGAAATTTAATATTCCAAGCGACGTCACGCGAAAGACACGGATAACTCTGGACCGAGATAACTCGCGTTCTTATTTCTCGAAATCCCATTTGCGCGCCATAGGTATATTAAACGTGCTCCCCCACACGTGCTTCGAACGCGAGAACGGAGAGGCACGTGCAGTTTTCGCACGAGGAAAGGAGAAGCTTAGCTCGTATGCGTCTGCTTTCAGACGAGGCGTGGAGAAATCCCTGAAGCCGTCCTCCGGATGGTTCCGTTTGGTTCGGGACGCGGGCGAGGCTGGGATTCGTGGCGAGGACTGCGAGGTGCTTTACAGGGGTTGTGACGAGCAGCAAGTCCCTTCGAAGGATACAGTCGCGATAGATTGAAACTTAAGGCGATGATTACGATCGTTTAGATTTGGAAATAAATTCGCTCGATCCTGTGTTTTATTCATTTATCCAGTCGTGGAATATTTTTTTTTTGTGTGTGTTCTTTTTAGTTGGAGAAGAATTGATTTTGGAAAAATTACGAATTATCGGTTTGGCGAAAGAAAAATCTAGGATTCGACGAATGATTCGAATAATCTAGTTTTTTTCTTCAAAATGTTTCGTATATCCTTTCGGTAATGAAGATAGTTTTCGTAGAAAAAATAAAAAAAAAAATTGACAACGGTATTTAGATTCTTTTCGCGTGCACGAATCTAATAATAGATGTATCGGCTGATTTTTTATTAAAAAAAAAAAAAGAAAGAGAGGGACAAGGAGAAAAGATTGGATCGATCGATCGGACGAATAAAAA